AATGCTCCAGGACAGGCTGATTGACAGGGCGGGCAGGCCAATGAGGGAGTCAGAAGCCCGGGGTCCCATCCTGTGTGAGCTGGAGTTGCCTGACCCAGGGCAGGGCTGAGCTAAGGGGAGGGCGGCGCTGGAGCCGGAGCAGCCCCTGGATCGGGGTGGGGGCGGCACTGGAGCTGGAGCAGCCGGCGGGTGGGTCTCTACCCGGCTCCCAGTGGTGATACATCCAGCCACAAACAGCTGCTGGGAGGGGCCCCCAACCCTGGACAGCCCCAGGGCAGGTACCTGTTGACTGCCCAGGTTTGCTGTGGAAAAGGATTGTGGCTGGAAGCAGGGCAGCTGCTCTGCGTGTGAAGCAGCCCCCAACCAGATAAGAACCTTCCTGTGTTTTGCCCCTTCCCCAAGCTCCCTGTGGATCTGCGCCCCGTCCCCTCCAGCACCCCCCAACAGGGGAAACCTGCCAGTTCCCACCCCCCTCACTCGCACCCAGCCTGCCCTGGCTGTCTGCTGATCCCTTCATCGCAGCGCAAAGGGGCCCGTGGTGTTTGGACGCGCCTGGCCAGTCGGCAGCGCTGGGGTGAGCCTGTTCCCCTGCACCTGATGGGGTCCCTGTGCCTGAGGGGTTGGAGCACACAGGACCCCGGGAGGGCTTTTGAACATGCCAGGTAAGGAGCCTTTACCCACGCCTCTGCCCCACCCCTTTGTCCACCTCACCCACCTGGGAGCTTAGTGTCCTTTATGGTAATGCCTTGAGTGCCCAGCAGACCTCAAAGATACCCCGTTAGCTGCCTAAGCTTCTATGGCCGCTTTTCAAAAGTGCTAGCAGTGTCCACTGAGAACAATGGAGAATCGGCCTCACCCCACCCCCATTGGGAACAATCAGGGCCGGTACAATCCATTAGGTGACCTAGGCGGTCGCCTAGGGCGCTAGCATTTGGGGGGTGGCATTTCGGGTCCTTTGGCTGTGACCGCGGAGGCTGGATCTTCGGGCGCCCCGGTCATCGTCGGCATTTAGGCAGAGGGAGCTGGGGCGGGGGGGCGTGGGGAGGGCCGCCTGCAGCAAGTAAGGGGGGGGCGGCACGCAGGGGAACTCCCCACCCCGGCTCACCTCTGCTCCGCCTCCTCCCCTGAGCACACCGCCCCACTCTGCTTCTCTCCCTCCCAGGCTTGCGGCGCCAGGGAGGCGGGAGAAGTGGAGCGGCGACAGCGTGCTCAGGGAGGAGGCGGAGCAGAGGTGAGCTGGGGCGGGGAGGGGAGGGGCGCCTCATGGTGGAGGGGGGGTGGGGAGCTGCTGCAAGGGTGAGCGCCTTACGGCGGAGGGCCTAGGGCGCGAAACATCCTTGCACCCGCCCTGAGAACAATGGAGCATTCCACCGCACCCCATCCCCTGAGAACAGTGCAGGGGGCTCGGACCCTAGCTGAGAACGACGGGAGCTGCTGGGTGCTGAGCTATTGGGTCAATCTGGACACTCATTTCCACAAAGTCAACTTCCGAAACTCCAGCCTTAGCTCCTGCTCTATCAGTGACTGTCCCGGTGCTTTACTGTGAGCTGGACGTGCCCGTGTGCTGCGCACCCCGATGCAACCGAAGGGCAGGGAAAGGAACGTTCCAAGATGGTGGAATTGATTTATTTCTGTTTTCTCAGTTACTTTTATTATAAATGAAATAAAAACATAGCAGATCCCTGACAAGCTGGGGATGAAGGTGCCATGTAAATGGGAGTCCTGGTCAGGGAGAGGTGCAGAAAGCAAAGATGGGACTCATGATATAGACACACGACAGGCCCTCAGCTATGCAGATACAAGAACTCAAGGCTGTTCGAAGAAACTCCACACCTATTTGCTGTGTGGATGTTAGAAGGCAGCAGATCTGGAAGGTAGGTTTGCTTAGAGA